ATTTGGTAGTAGCTGATGATTGAGGAACTAATACTGGAGCATAATTGAAGCAGCTGTTTCCAGTCAATTAATGTTAGCCTTGTTCAGTGCTCTGCCTTAACTTCATTAATCTTGAATGATTGTGTTTTTCTTTCTGGAACTTGCTGTGTCAAAACGCTTTGACCTTCCATGAGTTGTTGAAATTGTTGTGCGATTTTAGATACGTGACAGATTTACTTAGTGTGGCAACTTCTGGGAATTTTGGTGCTTTTATACCATCTATACAAACTCCAGACATGTACTATAAACATCCCTATGTATGAATAGGGACACATTACTCCCAAGCCACATCATCCAGCTCCTCCAGGGGAATCCTAAGGTGTTGCCATGTCAGATTGGTAAAGTAATCCCTAGTAAGCCTGTTCTGGGTCTGCCTGGAGTCTCTTGCCGATCGGACGTGCCTTGAAATTGCAAATGGATGTGTCCAGAAGTGAAGCCTGAACTAGCTAAACTGGATACTCTCACTTGGGGCAGTAACTGAACAAAAGACACGGTGTGATCCTTTGTTACAAAAGGATGTGGTCAGACACAGACTCTATTTTTTAATTGCATGGTTCTTCTAGCTGTCTTTGTCTTTAATCAACCTTTCATTGAGATCCTCTATCAAAATTCATTGAAGTATAGCTAGACTAAAAGACGTCAAGCATTCTTTTACAATAGCTTTAACAGCCTGTGGCAGTAGCAGGTTAGTCAGCTCTCTGCTTGGACCAGTCCCTGTGCACTTGTCTATTTTCTCTTGTTCTACGCATAGAGAATTTATGTCATCTTGTCATTTATTGGGCCGTGGTGGGCGTCTTGGCTGTGTAATTATGAGGTCTGCTGCTCTTATGGGTTTATATGCGTAGTGCGGCGAGACACTTCAAAAGAAAACAGACGCAGTGGAGAGCTAATTCAGTTGTTTCCTCACTGCCAACATACAGAGCGCTGCACTTAAAATATATGTTGTTGGGACTTTGTAATCTCTGTCTTCAGAGAGCTTGAACAGAAAGAAAGTAATTTAAATCTTTGGGTGTCATACTTGACACGGTGCAGAGCACTGAAACAGGACTATAGTTAGAACATATGAATCTGGGTTAAGAGGAAGACCAGGTTCAACAACAGTAGGTCCTAAGGGGTGAACGCCAAGTCAACTTCAATTACTCACAGGATTTATTTTAAATAACCAATTCAAATACATTTAAGGACCATACAGTACAGCCAGGCACAGAACGGCCTTAGTTATATTGTAAGCAGGTCTACAAATGTTGGGACAGTATTATGGTTTATCCATATGTGATCATGTAAAGTATTTTTTAGAGAGCCACAAACATGTCATGGAATAAAAAGTTTAAGCATAATATTATCTAGGGCTCTATTTTCTGAACCAAGGACAGATCACAGTCTGTGACAATCATGTCTAGTGCTGTGTACCTGGACTCACATTCAGGTTCAGGTCCGGACTCAAGTCCAGAGGTTCAGGTTCAGGTCCGGACTTATAAGTCCGGACTTGTGTCAAGTTGTGTGAGTAACTAAAGTGAACTTATTGTGAGCTAATTATCAATTGAAAATAAACTCATAATCAACTCAAATTCAAACTCGTCAGGTTTATTGTGCCCCCTTCCAACTTGTGTCTACACCATGTCTTTTCTAGAACTCTACATGTGTTACTAACTACACAACACAACTACATACATAGTGATGTACATACAAGACTCAATATGCAAGAGTACAAGTCTATGTGTTCTTGTTCAAGAACAACAGCATATTGACATTGTCTGGGTGAAGTGTTGCTCTTTCGGCAGACGCTATATCACCATACATACAAAGGAGTTAGCTTAGCTACACTACCAAATATGGCAACCAGCATCCCACGCTGTCAGTGTCCACTATGTCTAAGCCAGCTTCCCTTGACGTCACACAGAACTCGCGAGCAGTTGCGATATTTTGCGAGACTTCGTGAGCTCAGTAATGGCCGCCATGTCAGAAGCCAAAACAATGTTTTTCGTCTTTTCTCAGCGCAAATTTCTCGATCTATGGAAGGTTTTAGATGGTTTAGAACACAAAGGAGAATATACGTAAGTACCGGTTCCTGACGTTCCGGTTTTAACCGGACTTGAACCGAAACTTTTTACAAGTCCAGTACCGGTTCGGCGTACCGGTACGCAGCACTAATCATGTCCAATCACATTTACTACAATTATCCAACCTCAGTGCTGGAATCTGTCCATCATGACGCACAGACAGTTTGGTGTTCCACTGTTTGTTGTGTGGGACCTTGAGTTTAACATCAAGAACATAAAGTAGTTAGAAGTTTACCAACATTACATTTACCTTTCACTGTTTTCTTCTCAGTTTTCTTTTTCAACAATCTTTAAAGCGTGTCTTTATCATTGATATTGATTTTAAGGCACCTAAGTTATGTAATGGGGTATGACAAATAACAAAAACTCAGAGACCGGAATAGTACTAGGCATATTGCAGTGATATTCTACATTTTCCTTATTCTTAATAAGTCCTATGTGCATACTTAAACCAGCAATACTTCTACTCACAAGGATTGTGTGTGTAACCAAGGCCTGATTTATGTTATTCCTTTGTGAAATAGATCTACATTTTTTGGTCAAAAAACTAACAATTAAAACACAATGTGAGACACACTTGGGGACATGTTCCTTCATTACCATGCACAGTTTTGACTCTTAATAGAATTACTCAAGCATCAACTGTGTATTAATACAAAGGTTTACAAAAGTATTATTTGCTAAAATAATAGTGTTCAGCAGTTTTTTTGGAAAATATTGAGGTCTTTTTTAAGTGAAAATATATATTTGTGAACCATTATAAAATAGTTATGCCTTCAGTTACAACCAATTGGCTTGGGACTTGAGTGCCAGGTGGTCAAAAAGTATTAAAAGATTGATACATTGTGAGTTTTGATTTCCTGACATACGAAAACAATTGTTGGCTTCAACCACTAGGTCATTGGATACTCTAAGATTAACATTTTTTATTTCTGATTCATTTACTGATGTGCAAAAAATAACAAATCCAAAGATGTTAGAGTGAGATTCTTATTTATAACATGATCCCAATATGATACAAAAAAAGCAAGACATACACAAAACATGCAACATGATTAACGCAGTACATGGATGAATTTGAAACGAAAGACAAAGTGAAAGAACATTTCATTGATGAATCAAATAAACGCCACAAAGGCCATAAGAATTGGTCTGTTTGTTGGGACACGACGATATCAGGTTTGATATATGTAGAAAATATAATGTAATTTAACAAATGAATGGCTTGGATACCAAAATACAATTTACAGCTTGTTTCACATTCAGTGTCAGTGTATTGCCGCGGTACACTCTGGAACATGTTCACATACCACTTGGGTCGTAATACATTCAACCAACATAGTTAAACTGTATAGAGCGGTCTGAGACTAACCAAGCAGTAGATTTTGGTGTGTTGCGGATGGTTAAAACTTGTGTTGTGGCTTCAAAATGTGTTTGTTTGCTGCTGTTCATTTTTATTTAACAAGCTCCCGCCTCCCTGCAAGATGTCTGACCACAGGACTCGCCTGCTGTTTGTACGTCAGTATCAGGGCCGCAGATAAACTCATGACACGCCATATCCAACCATTCTGGTATATGCCAGAAGTACAGATAGATTACTTTCCCTGTGTGACTAACATATGATACAATAAGAAGACGCATGATCTTTATTGACCTAATTCCTGTACAATATTTTTGCACGTATGTCAATTAACAATTAACAATTAACAATGTATTCTCCCATTGCAACTCATTGCACAAGTCAAAGGAGAACAAAATGCAGTTTAGCAGCAACAAAGAGGTGCTACAAGCATTGAAGTGCATAGTAATGTACATATGTCATGTGGTATTAAAAAAGGGGTACGATACAAATAACCACATTTTAACCCTAATCATGACCTCTTTCTATAGTTATGTTGCCTATCACTTAAGTGATGCCAAGGGATCCTCACTTTCCCCTATCCGGCCTATGTGAACAGTTGGTAATGAGCAGTGAAACGTATGAGCTGCGTGTGATAGTAATGCTTCAATATACACAATGAGAACAGTGTGTAATGAATATACTTAGATGGATTCAGGATAAAGAATTTTAACATGTGAAGAAGTTATAGTAGGCACTGCAGGCATATAAAGTAAACAGTACAAGTGCAAGTAGCCTACAGGTAATGACAATTGTCTGACATTATATACAGTGTACAACATAAACTATGATATGAATAGGCCTACTCTTTAGTTCACATATAGCCATGCAAAAAACTGGTATTAATAAGAATAATGATAACACATTGAAAGTGTAACTAGTGCACTAGAATACACTACATGAAGAAATGTAAAAAAAGGGGCCATATTATGCTTATTTCAGGTATATGTTTGTATTTTGTGACTCTACATCGCACCAAATCTGCTCTAATTGGTTGTGATTGGTCAACTTTTTAGAGATGTCCCGCCCCTCAACCAATCATGTATGCCTTAGCAGACCATTTACATGCAAAAAAACCTATATTCAAGATTAAAATACACAAGATTCGAAAGGTTTAAAGTCACATCATATGTTATATTATATAACACACAGGAAAAGGAAATCCCCCCAAAATATAAAAAGGCCCCATTAGCTAATTAACTCATTATTTCAAGCCAGAATGATGTTCGTTGTTTTTGCTTGCAACATGCTGAAATGTGAAATGACATGGCAGTGCACCCTGTTTTATTCTCCGTTCGTTTCTCTTATTCTTATTATATTCTGTATTCTTTTCATCGTATCCTCTGTTCAGTGCCATCTTTCGAAGGGATATGTGTGATATGAGTATGGGATTGAGTGATAATGCTTGGATACTACAGTATAAGGTTAACATTATCCTGCATAATTCTTTACAATACTACCTGCAGAGTGAAAAGGTACTGACATTTCCATTGTGTCCTTAGGGGGTGAGCGGAGACGGTGGTGCTGCTGGAGCTCCAGGCGAGGTGGTGAGTTGATTCTGATTGTATGTATAATAGAATGCTGCTTGAAATGATGTTACAATGTAAAAATGTGATATCTGTCAAATAATACCACTCTCTCATGAATAATACTACTCTGTCATGAATATGCAGCAATCAAAAGACTGGACAAATTACAATGATGAATGTATTAATGCATCTTTTGGAGAAACATTCACAGAGTGCTCTTTGTTATAGCTGCCTCTAAATGCATAGTTTAATTACAAAACGCAATTCCTGTTAACTCAGCATTCTGTAGATATAACAAGCGACTGTTTTTTAAATGGTCCAATAAAGGAAAGAGTAATCAGGGTGTAAACAAGAGCTCGGATTCATTGCAGCTTTTACACACTGCTGTGTGCTAGTAAACTCACTGCCCACACACACGAACACACAAAACACACTCAACAGAATGGGCCAAGCTGTCCTAAGCCTTTGTGTCTGTCAGGCTTGATTAAATGCTGAAAGAAATTAATTAATTTGGCAGAATGTTCTATCTTTCAAACAAAGTTACAGTCCATTCTTTCTTATTAGCTCTCATTGACTTTTTCCGTTGGATCCACCCATACCAGAAATGGCAACAAATTAGTTTATTTGATGGAACAAACAAATACCCATCTGAATATCTCATGATATTTGTTTATCATAACTGTTGAAGGCCAATGCAAGGACATTGGAAACAGCATCATATACAAAGGGCTGTGCAACCATTTAAAACGTGAAGGTCAATTCAATATTACCCCATGTTTATGCACTTAATGTTCGCACTTCAACATCTTGTGTCTGCACGTGTTGGACTGTTACACTCACCACTGTCACTTCACAACCACACATTCACACTTTAAATGAGGCACTGTGTAAAGCACAGCACACATACCGATTTACACACTAAATCCACACACACACTGTGGGGCTTGTTTTTCCTGTCATTGCTAGTTACACAACCTTAAGTGCTGATATCCAGACGCTGAGTATGTCTGGATATAGGTTGCCCACGCTGTACAAAATACAGTTGACACCCATGCAGACCTTAGCAGGGACAGAGTAGCAAAAAACATAGCGTGCAGATCATCTCAAAACCAAAACCTCCCTTCCTATCATGCTAATTTTTACATGGAACACTGTAAAACAAAAACTGTAAAGCCCGATTTTTATTTCACCACATTGTCCAACATGTAATTGCCTTGTAACATAAACTGCATTAAACTGTATTTATGTCAGTTTCAGTGTGTTTGAGTATCACACAAACATGTATGTGGTCACAACTGCATCCCTGAATGGAGTGATTCTAAACATTTCGGAACAAACTTTAAAATATAAGAATTGTATGGATGGTTTGCCTCTTGATTGGTTAAAACTCATGTCTTCAAGTGTCAAAGGGTGTCCGGAGACATATAATGGCTATGTGTATGGACTTTAGCAGGGTAAACGCTGATCAGGAGTTATATACAAATCCAAAACGTTCTAGAAAATGAGCATCCGTAAGCCTCTTCTCTTTGTGCAAAGCTAACATGTCCCGGCCCTGTTCTTTGTCCCTAATGCTCAGAGATGATACATCAATAAATGACAGCGATAAGCTTTTTCATCCTTCAGTGTGCCAAGCTGAGGAAAGAACACTGCAGCAATTTAAATACAAGAGTCCCAGTGCACCTGTCTTGGCCAGATCACCTCAATCTGTTTTTGTTCTATCATACAAATCTTCAGTGAGCAAACAAGGTAGTTTGGATTGTAGCTTGGAGGTGTCACATTATACAAGGACATTGATATTGAATGGATGTTCTGATTTTGGATTAGACGTCAAAGAGGTGTATTTATTGGAATGTCAGTCTAAAGGCTCAGGCACCTCAGCATTTAAAGCAGTTGCTGTGTTCAAAAGGTACTTCCTTTTTCACTCAATCCTTTGAGGGAGACACTTAATTAATTATATCTGGGTGTTTTTAAGGGCACCATTTAGCCTTAACATTTCACACAGAGAATTCAGACACTAAAATAAAATGCTGTACAGTTAAAAACGTGCAGTAGATAATCGAAAGGGGTTGACTTAATTGGATTGTCTAGATCAGCACTGAAAAGACAGTTTGAAATTGGTAATTTGTACAAAGTTAACATTTGACAAACAAACACAGCATGTTCTCTTCTTTGAGCAAACCAACAATTTGGGTGAAAATGAATAGATATCTGAAAATGTAAGAAGGATCAATTTGGCACACAATCATTATTGTCCCTACACGCTGAACATGCGTGGGGCCTCATCTTGCGGAGGGTGCCTCATCTTATGCACAAATGCGGCGCAATTCATCTTACAGTATATGCGCAAATGCAGCGCAACTACAGTATGCGCGCCACAGTTTCTCCGCACTCGCGACAGGAGCGACGACTCATCACACAGTTTTGCGAGGGGCCAGCCCTGGCCAACACACGTTATGCTTTGAAAAAATAAGTTTAATATAAAGTCCTGATTGCGAAAAACATCATGTGCTTTTCTTCATTATGTAATGCCTGGCTACATTAGCTTAGTTGCTAACCATATTGTAAGTTAAAACAGTTCATTTTTATATCAACTGATGGGTTGAATAAAAAAAGTCTAATATGCATTTCACTAAATGCTGTGAGCTTGGTTTGGGATCTTTGGAATTGTTTTAGACTTCATGACATTTATTATTACTGTTTATACTTTTACATCAGTCCAGAACTGATTAGTGGTTGTTGTTTAAACCAAAGGGTTTGCCTCTCCACTTCTCTGGCCTCACGTGTCGTCCAAACCTTTTGCTTTTCTGAGTCATATATCCAAATCCATCCAAAGACTTGCGGGTATGCTGACAAGAGATGGATGAGTAAGACGAATGTTATGATGCAGGGCCCTCTTTACTCTAATGTGTTCTTGAATTATTTGTTATCACCCTGATCGGTGCAAATGCGTTCAACCAAAAAACGAATGCGTCTCATATTTCATATATCACCTGGAGACCGTCTCCTTGATGCCTAAAATGCCCCAGAACTTGAATCAGTGTTATAAGTTTAGTTTTAACCGCAGTGAATAAATCCTGGAATCTGATAATAATTCCACATTAACTTCCTCCGCTATCTGACAAACCATTTGGATTAATTCAGAATAGTCTTTTTGCTTTCCTCACTTTGAAATGTGACACCCTGTCATGCAGACTCATAGAGGAAGAACGAAAAAGCCCCTATGTTGTCATTGAAGTAAAGCCACCGTGTCAGAACCCACTGATATTCGGATCTATCAAACTTTTTTTTAAAGCCAGAGGATCACACTTAATGTATTTTATCACACACACACACACAGGAAGCTTATCTGTAGTGGAATCATCAGTGCAGGTTCACAAAGTCTGAATCAAAAGGACTTTGATCCTCCAGCATGAGCCATTTGTATTAGCATGACAGGTAGGGAGTCTTAAACAGAGCCACTTTTCTAAAGCCTTTAACTATTATTATACTGTATATATTATATGATATACTACTATTATAACTACTATTTGATATTCCATTACATGTCAGGATAAAGCCTAAGTAACCCCTATTCATATTAACTTAAATGCACTTATATCAGTACCATTGCCTAGAGTGGAGATCTACTTGTCAAGTCTCAAAAATAGTTACTTTTACATTGATGAACATATTTGATAATTCCATCAATCTGTTTGAGTAGGATTTTGAATTTGAAAAGAAAATAAATGAATAGGAAAACAAGAAATTAGAAAAAATGCAAAAAGGGATTTAGTTAAATTAATATATTATGGAACCTGCTTTGCATCCATTATATCTTGCAGTAAAAAAAACACACTTTATGTTTCAATGCAAATAGTGTAATATCTGTCGTCCAGCCTAGTTCTACAGCTCTAAGTTCCTTTTTGTTTTCACAAGTGTGTAACCTCTGACATTTCTTAAAAAGGGGAATGTGCATAGAAATTGTGAGTTTGCTGGAAAACCTTACAATTACATGAATTGATTATTGATATCAGTTCAACAAGCAGAACATTGAGATATTATCACCTCATTAAGTTGATTGCCAAACTGTTTCCTATTTACACATCATAGCAGATGCAAAACAACATGGTAGTCATTTGCAGTCGTTATTCCAGCAACATGGAGAATTATATGTCCAACAAGTCCAAAAGTGAGTCCCGAGGGAAATATCTGTCTCTTTAGCAGCTAAATGTTCACCAGCTTGTCTCTAACTGTGTCTGTCTGCTATTTGAAGTTGGACAGGTACTGTAAAGTGGATTTAACAGCTGCTGTCGGAAATTACTTTAATTAGAGAATGGCAGCTTATGTTTTAATTTTGCAATCTCCATTCAAGGTCTACTTACTCTCTTGTTATTTAGCATTCAAAGTGGCCCTATTGTGCTTTTTTTGGGTTTCTCTTCTGTAGTGTGTTATATAGGTTTGTGTGCATGTACATGGTCTGCTAAGGCTAAAATCACAAAGTTTACTCAAGACCACACCTCCCGCACTGAAACACCTATTGTTGAACTCCTTTGTTTACTTCCGTGACATTACTATGTGACACGTGCACTTCTTATTCTTATTTTATGACTGAAATGGATGAGAAGACCAATAAAGTCATATCTTATATGGTTGAACATTTCAGAACAAGGTAGGTGTAACAGTGAATAGACTTAGACGTAAGCACACAATGCCATAGAGACCTCCTAATGTTTTCTTTGTGCTGTCACTTTTGCATTTCAATAAAATAGGTTGCATAAATGATATAACATTTGTCAACTGTGTATGAAACTCGATGTTAAGTCCATGTGAACCATAACTTTGTTGTTCACAGGGTGTTCAGGGACCTCCTGGTGAAGTGGGCCTAAAAGGACCACAGGTAAAATGTGACCTTTTCAGAACCCTTGGAAATGTAAAATACACTTCCATCAGTTCTTTATTTTCTGTGTTCTGTTCTTGAATGTCTTTTTAGGGAGAAGGAGGCTTGCCTGGGCCAAGAGGGCCACCAGGAATTAACGGGACAATGGTTTGTACAACTTCATCACTCTTTCAGTTGTCTTCAACATGCTGAAATTATTCAATAAAGATGATTCACACGATTGATACCTCATTGTTTCAGCAAAGACTATGGCTGGAGGTGTTATTGTCACTTCTTGCTGCTAGTTTCCACAACTTTAGGGACAGCATGTACCTCCATCAAACAAAAAGCTTTTCAGGTCATCTAGCAGCGTCTGAAACCCTCTTTCTGAATGAGGACAGTACATTTCTGAAATAGAAAATGAGGCCCACTTAACACAGCAATTGGCAATTTGTGAAAATCAGGCAGGGGTTGCAATTTTCTTTCAACCCTCTATCTTAAAATGATTTCCCTCAAATTTGCAATCTAATGTACTCTACGAACGTCTTCTAACAAAGACTGTAAGAAAGGGTTTGCAATGACCTCAATTTGCACAATTCTCTGTAAAGTACTTAAAGGATGCAAGCAAGAACCAGGCAGAATACTTATACGTACCTGACATGTGACCATTTAGATATAAACATGCCCTTCGACGTGATCAATGCCTAGTTTGTTGGAAGCACATTGAGGCCTTTTTATTTACACACATTTCTCTAAGTATCGTCCCAAGCAGCCATAGACTTGGCAATGAAAATTACTGCAGTACATAGGGAATAATAAGGCATCCCAAATGGAGAGTAAACAAGTAGAAAATACCCTTGCCAAAGAAATTGTTTGATAATTGAAGGTTATTGACCTTTGCCCCATTTGGAAGGTGAAGGATTGACACATTTAACATTGTCCAAAGGGCCCATACAGTGATCCTATATATACTGTATAAGGGATCATTACTTCCAGTCCATGCCTACTTGGACCAATTGAATCCTAAGGGGATCCACTAATGTAAAGCACATTCCCACCATCTTTCACATGTGTCTTTGAAAAAATACAGTATTATCTCCCAGACTACAATTCACATTACTGTCTCTGCAGTGAGCTCATAATGAGATCATTAATTTTGCCCAGGCACCATATGAGTCCGTTTGATTTACTTAGCAATGCCATTAAGGTGGTGAGTGGCTGTTAATTTAGAAAACCTAAGTCAGATGAGTGTGTGTGTTGGTTTACGGCTGAACACACAGTCAGGGCACCCCCCTCTGGTAAACAAGATTACACACGGCCAGATGCAATTAAAGCAGAGCACAGTGAATACACAGGACTCCATGGTGGTTTAGCTCTGCCGCCCCCTTGTGGTCAAAGGGAGACAGTACAGATATAGAGAGGGAAGAGTTAATCGAGTAAACACTGAATCACATGGAATTTAAAACACATAAGAAAAGACACATTTCCAAAGTGGAAACCTATTTTAGATGGCTTTTGAAAAAACTAGATTTTGAATGTACTTTATTTGTCATCATCTATTATTCAATTAAAATGGATTTATACCAGATTCTATCTATTCTATCTATCTGCATTTGGCTTGTACTTTACCACACTTATGTGTTGATACATATTTGAAATTTGGTGTAGCCTGCTGCACCTTGTTTCAACCACAAGCTTCATCTATTAGTCTTCATCTTCCTCTTTCTATTTCTGTCAGTCGAACAGCACCTAGCTCTGACGTAACGCTTCCAGTGGGTTTGACTTATCTGACACGCACGCACGCACGCACGCACGCACGCACGCACGCACGCACGCACGCACGCACGCACGCACGCACGCACGCACGCACGCACGCACGCACGCACACACACACACACACACACACACACACACACACACACACACACACACACACACACACACACACACACACACACACACCCAGAAGGAGGAAGTAGGGCAAGCCTCCCGCTGTATCCAGGCAACTACATATAATAACTATACATAAACGTGAACCTAATTGTCAGTTGACCCTGCCAACACCAATCAAATGTGGCATTTCCAGTGTGCATACTGCTGGTTTAGCTCCTTATTAATCAATAGAAAAATAAATGGAATGATTCTTGTTTCTTGAAATTGTGTATCATGTTTCTATATTGTCACAATCACTGTTTCAGCAGCACACTATCATATTTATTATTGGCTTGTGTTAACCTCTTACAAACTGAAAGGGCAAACATGTGGAGATACAAATGTCAACATGAATCATTCAAACCCTTAAGCTTTGAAATCGTTCATTTCCTATTTGTGAAACTGTGCCATGAATGATCATATCATTATGAAGAAAAATAGGCTACCACACACTAGATGAATGCTCCCAAAAAATACTCAACATGGGAACAAGGTCTAAATAGATCGGATTCAACCCAGATGTGAATCCCATCAATTACGTCAACATGTTCTTAAATTATCTTCAAAATATACAACCTCCAGTCCATAGCAATCCAATAAGTTACATTTAATATCAATCAATGGGATGCTTTATAATACCACAAAGGAACATGACCTGAATCGCCAAACATACATTGTTGTGCTATCATATTAAAGGAATGATAAACATGTTTTTTATTATGGTTTGCCTTTTTATTAAAATGAGGCTCAAATGCCCTTGCAGTCAATCAGTATATGTATTTGTGTTTGTGTGTTTGTGCCTGTGTGTCTGTGTGTGTCTGTGTGTGTGTGTGTGTGTGTGTGTGTGTGTGTGTGTGTGTGTGACTCTTAAGAAGGCTACTGGGAATATAGGGCTATTGATATAGCAGAAGGCTTTGTTGAAAATGCAAACTGGTGTGTGTTTGTATGGGCGTGCATAGGTTTGTATGCGATTGTATGTGTCTGTGTGTGTTGGTGTCAGTGTGTGTGTGTGTGTGTGTGTGAGTGGACCTGAGCCATCTCATTTCTTCCTCAGTGCCTCCTGACTAAGCCGTCACACACTCTGTCACATTCAGCCCAAAGCAGTGTGCCTGTCTCTTTCATCTCATTCTCTCTCTCTCTCCCTCTCATTCCCTCCCTCTCTTGTCACCCCCCCCCCTTCCCCTTACCCTTCCCCTTCTCCTTCTCTCACCCCAATATTCTTTCTTCGTCCAGGGAATCCAAGGACCCCAGGGGCCGCCCGGAGAGAGCGGCCACGATGGTCCCAAGGTCTGTGTGTTGAACGTTATAATTAGTTATTATGCTAATGGCCTGCTTCTCCCAAGCCGCTCGGCTATTCTCAGTCTGTACCCTCCCTCCCTGTTCCGTTGATGTTCCCGTAGAGAAAACTGCATTTTGCTGAGAGGGAGGCAAGTTGTTTAGAATCAAATTGAAGGTGTTCTTGCTGAATATGTGATTCATTCCATTCTGCCAAGGACAGTTCATTTGAAATGTCGTGGTGTTTTGTATTTCTCCCCTTCAAAGTGCATCTTTTAAAAGATGTATGCAAGTGAGGACTTTCAATAGGTTGCTTAATAAGGGGGCTTGAAGGGGTACTCTAGTGATTTTACTATTTAAATATTTCAAGTTAGGGGATTTGCATGAAACAAATGATAATCAGAATTGTCCAAATCAAAGCAACAGACCCAAAATGCTAAGTAACCTAACCTTTATCTGGAGGCGTGTGGTGCAGTAGATAGAGCCTTGGTGTTGGGATCAGGGGGTCACAGGTTCAAACCCCACTGCAGTCAGCATGTCGTTTTGTCCCTGGGCAAGACACTTCACCCCAAATTGCTCCTGTGGGGATTGCCCACAGTATTGAGTATGTAAGTTGCTTTGGATAAAAGCGTCTAACAAGTAACATGTGATGTAAAGTGGAGTGCCCTGTTTTGAAAAGCACAAGAGGCCTTCTTCATATTTCCATGACCTAGAAAGGCACATTTCCTTTCCCCCTGGACTTTGTATACTCAGTGCAACATGCAGGACACAAAGATGGGAAGAGAGTGAGTGAAGGGTGGGAGTTTCATGCAAATACAGGTGAACCCTTTGCCTTTAGTATGCTGAGAATGAGGAGCAGAATGGAAACTACTAATTGAATCAGTCAGTAAGCACACAAACATAGATATACACACTACATAAACACTTCTAATAGTATACACATCCTGACACCTGGAGGAGAACTTCCCTGTCAGCTGATAAATCCCCACAGAAGTCGGCAGGCTGATTTCAATCTGTAGCAAATAATTGCAGATGGAACACATTGGACAACAGCACTACATGATCCTCTGGTTTCATGCATACCAACATCAGGCTGCTGCAAAATATAGCATCAACTTCTGTTGTTCTGGAAACATCCGACGGGTTTGGTATTTGTTTTGTTCCTGCTTTACCTTAGTTATCCTCAGAAAGTGGACACACAGTTCCCTTTTTACTCTTTCTACACATTCAAAGACACAAGATTATACATCATCAGGATTTTAATACAAACAAATGTGGCCTTTTTTTACACCCTTAATTATGAATGTAATAAATTGGATAGCTACTTCAACATGATCATAATGAAGAACTGTTGTTACCAGATTATTAGACTTTTGCTGAACATTGGCTGCATTACACAAAATTGCACTTTTCATTTACTACTTTAAATCTGTGATAAAACCACCAAAAAGTATCCTTCACATCAAATAACATACTGTCACAGAAATACTTATAGTACTGTATAAGGAGCTTATAAAAAGGTAAATCCACCCAGCAGTACATAAGTAGCCTTTACATATATAATCCTCCTCCTTTTTTGACAGCTTACACGCTAATGTGTCAGTAATAATAGCTGATGATGCAAATATGATAATATATTGATCTGAATAGGGCCACTTTTATTCCGTGACACTTTAATACTTTTACTGAGACCTCTGTTATTATACTCACATGAAAAAGAAAGGACACAGTATTTTCACATTATGCAATTTCTACTTCTTCTAAAATTGTTCTTCCATCAACATCAAAATTCTCCGATATTTTAGTCAACATGACACAACCGGGCTCCACCAAAGTAAAAGGCAGCAAAGTCAATATCATCGCCTGATCAACACTTTTAGTTTTAATGCTCAGTGAAACTTTCTCTTCTAAATGAAAGCTTTCTCGTGATGCACCACAGCTGTTAGTAAGGGTTTAGACCAATCATGTGACTAGGTGAGAGGATAATGATTGATCACCTCACATTGTGATTTATATTCCACTGCCAAAAACCTTGTGTCCATGCTTTGCTGAAACCACACTTTGATATGCTTCTACTGACCTGTGTGTGCTGGTCTTTAGATTTATATGGTTAAAAATAGTCCTACAAATGTAGTTAAGTATTATATTTGGTAATAATTGTTGTCAAGCTTATGCCCTCAGAAGAATTTCCAGACAAGTGTGTTGTGTTTTAAATGTTTTTGTGCTTTATTTAGGGGAAGTGTGGAGATCCAGGTGTCATTGGTCCTGTTGGTCCACCAGGCCAGAAGGTGAGTGGAGCAACAGATTTTTGGCCCGATGAAATTGTTTCCTTTAACCTCTTTCTTCACTGCTTTCCAACACTGCATCATTTCCTCCTCCTGTATCGCTTTTTTAATTTATTCTCACATTAGATAATTACATACATTGCACGGGGGAATGGCTCGCTAAGTGGAACATCTACCTACAGACATCTGTTAAAAGCACTGATTAACAAATACCTGTATCTCATTTGTTAAATCTTTTAAAAAACTACATTTGTTGTGTTACGAGTTGGGTTATGTGCTGTAACCATTTCTTGAGGGACAACAGTGTATGTGCCCATCGAGCATTTCTGGGCAGCCCCTTCGGCTGTAGGGTGGGCTGCCAGATACAGTTTCTGAGCAAATGCTTTGGTTATGGTCTCTGTACAGGCATGACGTTTCCAAACCTGGCAACCTCAACAACTAAACAATGGTTTCATAATTTAACTTTCCACAAAGCCAAACTGTGCCCCTGTCTCTGGTCATTATGCAAAGCTAATCACATCTGGGTCTGACTCCATAGCTGCAGATGAGTGGTGTAAGTCTTCTGATCTGTCTTGAAATGAAGTTTAAAGAGGAAACTGACACTTTTGCCAACCTCAAACGATGTCCCCCTTTTTTTTGGGCTTCATATTGAGCCCTCATTTCCTCCTGAGGTTGTACCATGTGGTTGACAGAATTGCATAGCAGAAGCAGGTATCTAAATGTCTGTGATGTCATTATTCTTCAGCCATTTAACTGTGCATTTAATGCAAGTCTATTGCCACAAATGTTGTCCCAAAATGATAAAATATTCAGAACCTGAGGTGTGGCCTTAAGTTTATCTTCTATACTGCACTGGAACCTCTTCATAAAGCATCTGCTTTCTCTCGAAAGTCACATAAGACCCTCTGGAATCACTCCAAACCAATGGCTCAGATGTAGAGAGCAGCAGGTTTTGTTTCCTTCTCCTGCGGTGTCCCTCGTTGTTTTACTCTTTGACTCTCCCCATATGGTCTCTGCTACAGTTTTCTGTCCCTTAGCCTCCCCTTGCCAAAAGCATGCAAAATAAATGCACCTCTATTCCCCAGTCCCAGTTAGTTCCTATCACAGTGAGCTTTTGAAAATTCAACATGGCGGTCGGATTAGTGAGGGCACTACTGATTCCTCCCTGAGGGATCAGGGTGACAGCTTTTGCCTTTTCTCTTAAACCAACCTCATTCTCCTTCTGTTTCCTCTCAACCTGCTAGACAGTTCTTATCCCAACAGCCTGAAATTCGGATCTTGCTGACGAGTAACAGCTATTCTTTGTTTGTTCAGTGACATGTTTTTAAAGCAATTATGCCCATAAATGTCAACCATTGTGAGAATCTGAGTCTTTCTTTTGTGCTACTGAATTGCAGGTAAACTACATTCTTTTGAAAGTGGATCATCAAGCATTTATTAATTTTAGGAAATGAGTACTGAGTCGTTTGTAAAGAGGAGCTTGAAAATCTTTCAATCAAACATCTTTAAAACCCATATTTAACCAGGGAAGTTGTCACAGGGGATAGAATCAAAAACGTTCTTATACATAAACAAACACACCTCGAAAACTCTGAAGTTTTTTGCTCCCTTGATGGATTTTGAAACAAAGACAGGCAATTGTTTTCAATCTATTTTGAAATAAATGGCCAGTTTGAGGAATGCCAAGACATATGAACCTCACGACTGCTAGCCATTGATTTTAAGATAATCGATGATCTTTGACCTTTCCAGGGCTCAACAGCGGACTCGGGTTTACCAGGTCTGCCGGGTGCCATGGGGCTGCCGGGGTTCAAAGGTCACAAGGTGAGGGTCAATTCATATAATAACATTTATTCAGTGTGAAATGTATTATCTATACCGGATATCTCATGGTATTCAATGACACAGCTCTGCCATAAATAACTCCTTGTCGAGGTTTATAATGTTGAGGTTTTGTTAGCATTGTCAGGATTGGGTCAAATGAATTACTACGGTTTTAGTATGCAGCAGTGACGTGCGGTGAGGTTCATGGTTGATGAGGCACTGAGTCAGATTTAAAAATATTATATTTTGACCTTAATCAAAAATATTCGGTTATTTTCAAAAGCTATTTTAGTCTGATGCTTCTATTCATTTTAAACAGACCGTTCAACAAAAGGATATCCAAAATCTAAATATTGGATTGTTCTTTCTTAGTAAGATCCCATTTTCATTACAATTGTGGTCTTACCTTGACTTGAAGATTAAGTCCATGCTCTCCTTCTGGATAACAATCTCTATTAGTTTTTTGTAAAAGTCCTCCTTATCTTCCTGTAGTTTCAAAAGTCTAGTTTGTTGTTTGCGTGTAGTCCATTTAGCTTCGGAACCTTCCTAACCGAGTGAAATGACACGGAAGTCCCTCAGTGGCAGCCATGATAAGTGCCGTTCGAATTCTCTAGAATGATAGGAAAGGAGGTTTCAAACTTCCTTTATAACCTCCTTTAGCTTAGGAACCACTGAACCTCCCTAACCGAAAGGAGAGGAGAAAATGCTGCCCCGCAATGCCTTGCAGCCGCAGCATTTGACGTCACACAACAGTCGGCCGTTCACGGACACAAAGATTATGACGGAGAAATTATATCATGAAAGTTACGGTGCTTATTAAGCATTTGAAAACGTATGTGGTAAGTTGCCAAAGTGCTTTGTTTTGAACGTTCATCAGTATTATAATCAAAAAGAGAAATATGAACGTTAGTTTTTACTGAAATGATCAAATAAAGTTTATTTGATCATTTCAGTAAAAACTAACGTTCATATTTCTCTTTTTGATTATAATACTGATGAACGTTCAAAACAAAGCACTTTGGCAACTTACCACANAACGAGTGTGTTGATTTAGCTGTGTGTAATACTGTGTGCTGGTCCATGTCTTCATTCTGTGTGTGTGTGTGTGTGTGTGTGTGTGTGTGTGTGTGTGTGTGTGTGTGTGTGTGTGTGTGTGTGTGTGTGTGTGTGTGTGTGTGTGTGTGTGTGTGTGTGTGTGTGTGTGTGTGTGTGTGTGTGTGTGTGTATCTGTGAGTGGAGAAAGGTCGATTACCACTAGCAGCCAATAAGACACACCAAGGGAGAGAGGGGATAGGAATTGGCTAGTAGTGACCTTTAACAGACCACACTTTTTATTTTATGTGTGGCTTTCCAATTGCTTCCTGCAGAACCGTAACACACTTCTTCTCTCCTTCATTTTATACTGAATCAGAGCATTCATCACATGCTTTGATTGTTCAATTTGTGACTGATGCTCTGGTCACAAAGGTAGAAGTAGAACAAGGCGACATAAGGTGCATGCGATGAGATTGAGGCGTTGATATCTGGAATAGGCCCCATCCCGCTGTGACAGTGAAAAACCAGGTGTAACCAATAGATGTTTAATTGAAAACAAAATAACATATATAAACTGAAGCCCATGAAGCTTTTTCGATGTGTTATGCCATTTTGTCTCTATCCAAATGTTACTGCCTAAACGGTGTATTAGGTCACTGAAAACTGTACTTTTTTAAAACTCCTGTAACTTTTGTAAATCAGTGGCCAGATTGGTTTCAGATTGGTTACTGGCTTGTAAAGTCAAAGTGTGCAAAGTTATCTCCATTGTGAGGCATCAATAATGAGACTACATGCTGCGTGGAACAGCAGTTTAAATGCATAGTAACCTTTACAACAGGAGTTTTTACAGGTTTACGCATACATTTACAGTTACCCTTTACTATATTGAGGATAAGAGGGGATAATTGCTAAGGAGGTCACTTACCGCTACGCTATCCAACACTATTTAAACAACACAGTTGTGGCAACATTGTAGATTTCTCTCTTTTTTAACAGAAGGAGGAAAACCCATCACAAAAACGCCCATGTATGTGTAGACTCAGACTTCAGACATATTAAATGTTTTTGATACAGGACTGAAAAATGAACATGTGCATATGAGTTTCTAGTAGAAGTGTAAAGAAGAAATACCTGGCATCCTTTTGTGGCAGTATCTCCTCTCTCCCCCTAAAAATACACTGAACATGAGAATATGTACAACTTACAGTTATATCATTGTTTTGTTTTGAAACTGGCAGTTAGATCGAGAAAATATCATGCTGTTCGAGGAATTAAAGAAGAAAAATAGCATCAGTGTCCTGTTGACAGCATAGAGAAAACAAAACCTAGCATTTGAATCATACTGATCTGGATTAATTTATTGTATTTATGAGCCTTGGCGTTCTTTTTCTGAAGTGTGAAGGACAACCTTTAACACCATTAAAATGAATCATGTCATCTAAGCAAAAAATGAATAATACATAAACAAGTATTATGTTAAGTTGTCGACATTTCGACAGTACAGCGTGTAAATGTACTCCTGACAGCTAAAGCTATAAATCATTTATAAAGTGCATTGATATCTTGCCAATTGTAGACTTCATTAAGTCATTAAACAAAACCAACCAGGTCATTGGTTTTAATTGGTTCATCTACACTCAGTGGCCACTTTATTGGGTACACCTGTACAATCTCATACAAACCACTTCATCTGTTGTGCCATAAAGTTTACTTTTACGATGCTTATAAATGTTTGTTTTACTCTGTCAATTAAACGGTATATTTAGCATTGAGTTGTGTCTCTAACATTCGGCTCCCTTATGTACATAATTTACAATGTAATTTAGTCTAGTACAACAGCTCTGCATACCAGCGACGTGCAGTCAGGGGAGGCAGAGCCTCACCTGTCATACTCCAATGTAACGGAAAAACAACTAAAGAAAAACTAAATAGTAATAATAATAAAATGTCTCCACTGATCTATGATGTAAGTGTGATTTATGTATGATTCCAATCGCCTTTTAAAATCAAAATCAGCAAATTGTCCGAGCTCCGCTACAACTACGGGTAGCGATGAGAAGTGAGGCAAGGACGAGCTCTGCCTCTCGTAAGCCCACAGTAACTTGCTGGAGCATGGGCACTAATTTAGCGCGGGCACTTATTTTGTGAGCGCGCTCAAGCCAGTTACTGTGGGGAGAGGCACAGATGAGCTCTGCCTCACCTCAGAATGCGTCACCCCACAGAAATGGCTGGAAAGCGGGCCCTAAGCGCATGCCTGTTACCATCTCACTGTCGGTCACACGTGTAATGTTTGTAGATCCCTTTATTACATTTATCCTCGCCATCCATAGTCTCTAAATAACTTATTTAACGTATATATGATATTTAGGCTCTGTGGTCTCATCATATAACGCAATGGTTCTCAAACTTTTTCTGTCATTCCCCACTTTGAACAGGTGGGCCTTTTCAAGCCCCACCTGTTCCTCATCGCTCCAATAAAATGGTAGGCCAAGCTTAAAATTGTCAAATGTA